AATGGGCACAAATGCAGGCATCCAACCCCGATATCTCCCTCATTTACGATCGACAGCAACACGGTTCTCTCAAACCCACTGCCCATGAGATGAAAAGTTTCAGCTGAGAAGCCCATTGCCTTTGGTCGATGTGGCCTTTTCTCCACCTAGTGGACAATATCTTATTTTTTCAGCATCATCCCTCCCTTCCCCAACGTCAAGTGGTGCCTCGCACTCTTAGACATCAACTCATCCGCGACACTCATGAAGAACTAGCACAATGTGGACAGGCGAAAACCCTCGCTGCAATCCGTCAACGATATTGGTGGCCCGCTCAGCGAGCGGACGTAGTCTTCTTCCGTCAGAGGTGCCAGACCTATGCTCAAATCAAAGATCCCGTCAGTCGTCCACGAGCACCACTAGAACCAATGTCATCAGGCTTCCCTAACCACTGCATCGGTTTAGACATAATTGGACCTCTATTCGAGACAACAAAGAAAAACTGCTTCATCCTGGTCGTCGTTGATTATTTCACGAAATGGTGCAAAGCCATCCTACTTCCTGATCGAGAAAGCCCTACCATAGCAGCAACACTAATCGACAACTGGATCGCCCGGTATGGAGCACCCTACGTCATCCACACAGATCAAGGAGCCGGTTTCGAAAGTCGCCTGTTTCGGGCTCTTTGTCACTTGCTAGGTATAGCAAAAACACGTTCCTCCCCATTCCACCCCGCCGTAAATGGACAAACGGAACGCAAAAATAAGACATTAATATCGTTCCTTCGCAGCATGGTCCTGGAACGACTTTCTTCCCCGATGTCTCTTGGCCTACGGTGCCACGATCCACTCTTCTACTTCGTCTACTCCCCACATTATGCTTTTCGGGCGCGATCTTCGATTACCTTCTGAAATAACTATACCACACGCCATGCCGGCAACAGAACAACCACATGCGTATCTTAACCAAATCACAGACTCTCTACAACACAATTGCAAGCCGCACACTCTCATCAGAAGGATTATTACGACCATTTGGCACATGGAGTACAATACGAACATGGTGACCGTGTTTGGTTGTGCAACGACAACTCCCCAGTAGGTGCTTCAAGGAAATTCCATCGCCAGTGGTCCGGACCTTAGATTGTCCTACGGCCAATGTCAAATTCTGTCGCCAGTATCCGCCTCAAATCTAAGCCTTTCAGTAAGATCCTCCAAGTACATTCCAATCGTCTAAACCATGCATCTCTGACGCTCCATCTGCTCAAAATCCCACTCCCTCAACATCTCACGCAGTCACCTCTACACCACCCTACATCCCCACTCCTAACTTACCCCGCGCTAAGGACAGCGCTCAATCTTCTGAAAGGGGCTGTGTAAAGAGATCCAACCCTCCCGGGTAAC